ACGGGCACGGGGAAGGGATTGAGGGACACAGGGAGATCAGACAGGGGAGAGGGAGGGAAAGAACGAGGGGACGAGTGCGTACCCAGGGTCATGGGGGGCAGGTGGAGAGGAAGAAAGGGGGAAAGATAAAGTCATGAGAGGGTCACTCAGCCCCTCCCCTCAAAGGCTCCCCACAACCCAGCCTTTCCCTGGACCTCCCATCCCAGCCCCTGGGTGCACAGCTTGGTGGGAGGCCAGGGGCCCCACCCTGCTCTGCCCTGTGCACCCTGGGCCTAAGGCCATGTCCATAAACCACTGCCATCCCCACTGTTTGCAGAGCAGGGTGGTGGGATGCCTGGCCCCCTCCCTCTGAACGGTGTGCGCTCCACTCAGCAGCCGTGGAGGCTAGACCTGTCAATCATGCCCCCATCTGTCAATCATGGGGGTCCCAGAGCTGACAATGGGGCCAGGGAGGGGTCACCTTCATACTACTTGGGGCCCCTGGCCAGCCTATCCTTAAAGCAAGTGATCTCTCCTACGGAGATGGGATCTTTCCTCTAGCTCCCAGCCTCACCCCACCCCCCAGGTCACGGCTCCCAAGGGCAGGTCTCCTCCATCTGCTGCGACCCCGGTGCTAGGAGTGGAGTCCCAGCCAGCCCAGAGTAGGTGCTCAATACACATTAACTGCCATCAGTAGCCCTGCCTGTTAAGGGGGCAGGGGGAGCACCCACTGCCGGCTTCGGCCAGTGTCCCCAGGATTCAGGTGAATGAGAAGAAGGAAACTGAGGCACAACGAGGAGGAGGGGTAGCCACAGGCTCAGCTGACCTGTGCCACGGTGGGTGGGGTGGAGGGGCAGACTGGGCTGAGAGCCAGACAGAAACTAACTAAGGGTCTTTAATGAGCTGGCATGCCCTGTCTCATCTCCATGAACCCATGGTCAACCGACCAGGGAATGAATGGGGAACAGAATGTGGGTGGGAGCCAGGGGCTAAGAGAGCTGAGCAGGGAAGTGGGGGCTTGGGTTCGAGGCTCCACCGGATTTCTATGTCTCAGGATCAACTGTCAAATGGGTGGAGCTGGATAAGGCCAGAAAGTGGATCCCAGCTCAACCCCCTGGCCCCCCAGGGGCAGGGGGGAGGGACCTATTCCTTCCGGCCCTTTGCTCACTCAGTTCTAAACCCCATCCCCACCATTCATCCATCACCCAGCCACGTCCCTACCTCAGAGCCTTTGCACTCACTGTTCCTGCTTCCTGAGAACCCCTTCCCCAGCTCCTCCTCTTTATTCAGCCCGAACTGTGTCGGTGGCTCAAGTCCCAACCCAACCCTACTGCTCTCTGACCCTGGCAAATGGCTTCACCTCTCTGCTCGCTGTGCTCCACTTCCCCATCTGTAAGATGCAGATGGTAATAACCAGTCACTAAATTAATGAGAATCTAACTTGCTTAGAACAGCACTAGGCATACAGTAAGGGCTAAATGGGTAGTAATTCAGGCCAAGAAAAATGTATTAAGTGCCTTCAATGTCCTAGGCCCTGGATAGGCACTGGGGCTAGGTCAGAAAACAAGAAAAACATAAGTCCCTTTCCCCAGGGAGTGGACATTCTGGTGGGGGAGCCAAGTAAATTACAGAGTAAGATAGATGGCGGGGGGGGAGGGGTGAAGAGCAATCAGGAGGGCTTCTCTGAGGAGGTGTTCTTTGAGCAAACCTTAAAAGAGGTAAGGGGCACCTGGTGGCTCAGTTGGTTAAGCGTCCAACTCTTGATTTCGGCTCAGGTTATGATCTCAGGGTTGTGAGATCAAGCCCTACACTGGGCTCTGCCCTGGGCATGGAACCTGCTCAAGATTCTCTGTCCCTCTCCTGCTGCCCCTCCCCCCACCTCTTTATTAAAAGAAAAGAACAGAAAGAAAGAAAGGAGGTAAGGAAGCCATGCTGGTATCTGGGGTAAGAGTGCTCCAAGCAGTGGGAACAGCCTGTGCAAAGGCCCTGAGGTTAGGACTGTGTTTGGGGCATGAGCTGTGATTATGATTTTTTTTCCCACTCCTGAGACTTTGGAGATCTGAAGCCCTGATGTGATGTACATCAGGACTTTAGGTCAAATGGACAAGTAGAGGCAAAATCCAGGTTGTGGGGGGGTGGGGCAAGTCATCCCCGAACTTAAAAAGGACCAAAGAAGAGTAATCAGACGGTCTTAAGAGAAAGTCTGAGCAGCCACTACCAGCGCCCTTTCCAGAGGCCAGCAGAGGAGACACCAACTTTAGAGCCGGGGAGACTCGAGAGGCAGGGAAGCGCTGCCAACCTGCCCCAGGAGAGTCCTGACAGAGACAGGAAGCCCAGCCTGGGGTTCTCATCCTGTGAAGCCAGACACTGGTCCCCAGCCCACCGGGCTCCATGTGGAAGCCTCTGGGTTCCAACGTGTGCTCGGCCCACTTCTGGGCCCAGCTGTCCGGCACGTGTGCACGCAAGTCCCCAGGGCAGAGACAAGGGGCTGGGCCTCCCTCTGGCTCCCGGTGCCCAGGGTCAGGCGGAAGGGTAAGCTGCCCTTTGCCTTAATCGGGCGAGTTCCTGCCTTGGGCAAACACAAAGCAGGGGGTGGAGGATGAAAGGAAAGCAATCCAAAAAAAAAAAAAAAAAAAATCCTTGTTCAGACAGCGTTGGCCAGGCTAGGGGGCACAGGGGCCACTGAGGTGTCAGGGCGAAGGAACTTGACTCTGAGGCCAGGGGCCCCGGAGAGGAGGGGCTGGGGAGCAGAACCGTCCTCACGGGGGCCTGAATCAGGGTGTCCCTTGCATCCCCGGCAACTCCGCAGCCACCAGGTGACCATGGATAATTGGATTCCTCCGGCCCAGGGCCGGACTGAGGCCCACGAGATCGTGGGATCGCTGGTAACGAGGTTAGCAGGCGCCAGACCCCACCCTCCGCGGCTCCCAGACGCCCCCCGAGACAGGGAGTGAAGGCAAGGGCTGTTTGCAGCCCCGTCTGCCTGCCCACCCCGGCGGGTACTCACCCTCCTTCCTCATGCCCACCCGGAAGCACTTCTTCAAGCGACAGTATTGGCACTGGTTCCGGTGATGCTGGTCGATCTGGCAGTCACGGTTGGACCTACAGGCACGCAGGGGGTCACCACGACACCCACGTCCTGCCCCCGGAGCCACCCTATAAGCCGCCTTTGAAGGCCGCACCTGAGAACCGTCAGTGCCCCCCTCCCCGGGCTGGGCAGGTAGCCCCGGAGGGGCACAGGGGCTCAGCCTGCAAGTGTGCAAGGAGGGACAGGACAGCTGGAGTGGGTGGTGACGAATGGCGTCAGTCTGCGGCGAAGTGGATTAGCACACCAGGGAGGGTATGTTGGAAGTGGGTTTTGAAGGATGAATAGAAGTTCTCCCAAAGCAGAGCGGCAATTCCAGGCAGAAAGCAAGAGGAGGGCTTTCAGGCTGAAAACGTGAAAATATGAAAGCCTCAACAGTTTCATTTTACTTGGTCATTGCGGGGTGAAGACGTGGGGTCTTTGTTCCAAGGGCAATGTGAGAACAGCAAAGGTGTTGAGATTCTCTGTCCCTCTCCTGCTGCCCCTCCCCCCACCTCTTTATTAAAAGAAAAGAACAGAAAGAAAGAAAGGAGGTAAGGAAGCCATGCTGGTATCTGGGGTAGGAGTGCTCCAAGCAGTGGGAACAGCCTGTGCAAAGGCCCTGAGGTTAGGACTGTGTTTGGGGCATGAGCTGTGATTATGATTTTTTATCTACATGGTCAGGGAGCCGGGCTTTGGGGGTTAGCTAAGACACTAGGGGCCAGGCCAGGGCCAGTCCTCTATGGGCACAGGAGGGCGCCAGTATTATCCCCCTGCATAAGCCTATCACCAATAAATAAATGAATGAATGAATGAACCCCTGCGCTCCCTTTAAGACCCCACACCCATATCCCCTCTTCTGGGGAAGACCTTCCAACTCCTAACTGAGCCTAAGAAGCTTCCTGTGGGTGGCCCACAGGGATCACGGCCTCTTCCAGGGATGGGACACGGGGCCCCGCCCGGCAAGAGAATGAGCTCCCCATCCAGGGTCAGTCCCAAGCAGAAAGGTTCAGGCCCTTGTTCTTCAAATTTCTCCAGCACTTCTTCCCCTTGGCCCCTACCCCTGTGTTCCCTCGCTGTCTCTCTGGGCTCCAGGCTCTCCAAGTCCCAGACCTGGGGCAGACACCCCTGGGGTTCCAGCTGGGCACGAAGAGGGTACCCAGAGACAGTCACAGAGTAAAACGAATGTTCGATGAAGTTAAAAATCAAACACATCTCAGCCACAGGCACTCAGCCCCAGCCCTGGGGCGGCGACTTCTCCACTGAGACTCAGTTTCCTCATCTGGAAATGGGAGGCCAGATGCCGGCTCTATATGGGATGCGCTGGGTCTGGGGGGGTCCGGGGGGCTTTGGGGGAGGGCATCAGGACCCAAGCCCAAACTGGGGGGTTCTCAATGGCAGGTTCAGGAGAGCTGAGGTCCTGGGGGTCTCCGAGTGCCCAGGTCCCAAAACGCCAGCCTCTAAGCCCAGGCCTCTGTCCCCTGCCCGGCCTGAGCCCCCAGGAAGAGGCCCTGCTAGGGTGGAGGGAGCTCAGGCAGAACCAGAACAAAGCCCAGCAGGCAGGCAGTGGGAGGGTCCTGGGCAGCCGGGTGGAAACAGCCAGGCCTGGGGCGGGCGGGCAGGCAGGCAGGCGCCCAGCTCAGGGCCCCTGACCTCAGGGGAGGTCCTGAACCTTCTGCCTCAACTTCCCCAGCTGTGGAGCTGGGACAGATCTCCTGTCCCTCCGGATGGGGAAACAGTAAGTTCCACCTGTTATCCCACCTAAAGAGCACATGCTTTGCCCAAACCCATGGCCCAACTCAGCCTCCTCCCGAGGCTTCTGGCCTCTGGGCCAATTTGATCCCTGCCCTCCCTTGCTCACATACCCTCCTTGGCTCCCTGTCATCCTCAGTCCAGCACTTCAGATCCAGTCAGCTCTAACTTCTCCCATGCCCAGGTGGTCTCATCTTACAACACTGCCCCCCTAACCTCCCACTGAGTGTCTGCCTGGGCCACGCTCTCTCCAGGAGTGCCCTTCACCTCCTCTACCTGCCAAAGCCCTCCTGCTTTCAGGCCTACCTCCCACAGACCTCCTCCAGACAGCCCTCCCTGAACGTCAGGCAGAGCCCCTTGCTCTCTCCTGGGACTCCAGAGCCATCCCTCCCTCTGGCCCAGCCCAGACTCCACAGGCAGGGAGCTTCTGTGTCTCCCTGTGCCCCCTCCAGACCCAGAGAGAGCTGGGGATGGGAGCTGGGGTCTCTCTGAGGGGCTGGCCTCAAACCTCCCAGGCTAGGCCCTGAGGGGCCTTTGCTGAACCAATCTGAGGCTCAGAGAGGGGCCGTGACTTCACCAGATCACACAGTGCAGAGCTTCTGGAGAACCTGCCAGCCCCAAACAACGCCCCCCCTCCCCTGTCTTGTAGCTCCCTGCTCCTACCTTCAAAGAGCCCCTGGGACCCCAGAGCCACCTAAGCTCCTCCCTTACCCTCCCCAAACACCCGGCCAGAGAGCAGGCAGCAACAAGAATGAGGCCAAAGTCTGGTGGCCCAGTTAGCACCGGAGAAGGGAGTAAGCCAGCTTCCCCCACCCGCCCAAACACACACACACACACAGCTACCCCAGACAAGGCCCTGACCGCAGACCTGGGGCCAAACTCCAGCCTCTGGTGCCTGGCGCCCCGCCCTATGGCCTCACCAACAAGCCCTCCATCAGCTGCCCTCTCCCTGGGGACACCCGGATCAGGACTCAGCCGCTCCCCTCTTCCCAACCCCAGTTCACCTTGCTAAGCCCCAACTGGGGCAGGGTCTCTCCCTGGGTGCCCTAGGGCAGCGCCGGGACCTCTTTGGGCCTCAGTTTTGCCTATCTGGAAAATGGGACTCTCCATACTGGCTCTGCAGAGCCTACACATGTTCCTGTTGGGGTGCAGGGTAGGAGCTTGTCAATGGAGTGAAAGGACACTCAGGGGAGAGTGGTGGGAAAGGGGGCCCTGGGCTAGACACCCAACCCCAGCACCAACCAGAGAAACTAGCAAGGCCACACCCTGTCAGTGGGGACTCGAACCTCGGAAGGCCCAAGGCTCCTTCTTGAAAACATTCACCCCCACCCTGTCGGAGCCGACCGAAGTTTCAGGGATTTTCCAGGAGCCCCAGGTCGGCACCCACTCCCGGTGGGGGGAGGGTTGGAACAGCCGAGGTGTGGTCAAATCCAGCAGCCCTCCCAGCCCTCCAGCGGCAGTTTCCAGTGACCCAGGGCCCAGGGTGAGCCCAGGGTGGGGGGAGTTCCTCCCTGATGGGCAAGGCCAGCTCCCCCCACAGCAGGGCTACCCATGCGAAAGAGGCCGGAGGCCGCCCGGTGCCACCCCTGCCTCGCTCCCGCCGCCTCCGCCGCCGCGGTGGCCAGGGCGACTTTGGAAGTGATATTTGACCCCAAGGGCGCGCCGTATCGATCCGCGCGGCCGCAGACAATGGCCCCTGGACGCTGCGAGCTCCACCGTCCAAGTTCCACGTTCGATTCCCGCAGGGTCCCCTGCGCGCCGAGATCCCCGGGAGAAGGGATGCCCTGGGGTTAGGGCCCCACCCCTGACAGCACCCCCCAACCCTTCCCCGCGCGGAGATGACCCCTCTCCAGAGAAAAGGGAGGGAGGGAGAAGGAGCAAGGAACTGGGGCGGAAGCCGCAAGGGACCACCTGACGGGGTGGGGGGGGGGACCTGCACCGATACAGCGCCGACTGTATACACAATCCCAGGAATGGAATGGAGGCGGGGGAGAGGGGATTTTGCCCCTATCTCAGAGGGGGGAGTGGAGGCCCGGGGAAGGTCAGCGCCAGGCCCAAGGTGACCGAGCAGGTCAGAGGCCCGGCCCAAGCCGGGGCCGGGGGCACAGCGGCCGTGCGCTGATAGGGGGCTCACCGGCAGGTGTAGCTGAGGTTGCGGCGGATGCTCCGCTTGAAGAAGCTCTTGCAGCCCTCGCAGGTGAAGACGCCGTAGTGCTTGCCGCTCGACTTGTCCCCGCACACCACGCAGTCCACCTGCAGCCCCGGCCGCTCTTCGTCGCCCGGCTCAGCGTCGCTGGCGGCGCCCGGGGGTGAGGCCGAGTCTTCCTCGGCCGCGCGCGGGTAGCCGCCCGCCTTGTCCACGCCGTTCGTGTCGCCGCCGCCGCTGCCGGGGCCGCCCCAGCCGCCGGTCACCATGGCCATAGCCCCAGGGCAGCGGGGCCGGGGCGCCCCCTCCGTGCTCCTCCCTCCGGGCACCCCTCTCGGCCCGGGGGGACCCTACCCGGCACGCATCCGGGCCCGGCGCGCGGGGGGCACCGGCTGCACCCCCCAAAAAAGTTTTGCAGCAACTTCCTGCGGCCGGTCCGCGCGCCCGGGCAGAACTGGTCGGGCCGGTTCCAGGCCAACTTTCCCACGCGTGCGCGGGGCCGGG